CACACGTGTCATAGGTTTGCCACCACTGTCCTTAACCAACCTGTCTGGGTCAAACGTACTGCGGAGTAGAACTCCACGGGTAAGCATACTTGCCTCTCAGGCATCTATGACTAATAGATAAGAAAAACAAAACAAGAAAGAACTCACTCTACTCCTTTCTTTCTCAGAATGGGTATATCTTTTACGCCCATGATAAACTGGGCCTCACAGTGCTCACCCGTAATCAGTACTCTAGGAGGCTGAGGCAGTAGGATAGCAACTTAGCCCAGACAATTTAGCAATTAAGCAAAACCCTGTCTCAAAATGTAGACTGCAAAAGGGATAGGGATGTCGTAGCTGAGAATCAAGACCCTGGGTTCAATCCCTAGTATCAAAAAAAAAGGTGCACAGTATACCAGGTCCAGTCACTCCCACAAACACAGAAATAAATCTAAACCTTGAAGCCATAATCCATGTCTCGTTAACAAAGACTCAGAAGGGCCAGACAGCCCCTCACAGGGCCAGCGCTACTCCTTCCAGCCCAGCCACAGGAATGCCGGGGAGGAGGAAACGGCCTCCGTCCAGCAAGGGGTGGCTCTGGCAAGATGTGCGCCCCTGCCCCAAGCTAGCTGGACCCCAGCCCCAGGAACAAAAGCTTTGTAAGAAGACTTCTGGCTTCACTAAGACACATTAAAGAATTAATTAGAAAGTAAAGCTGAGGGAGAAAATTAATTTTAGAAACACAGAGGTTACTTTTTTCTTCCTAGAGATGGGGGAGGAAACAGTTATTTTCGTTTTTATCCTGGGGGCACAAGCTGGGAGCTGTCCAGTCGATAACCTGGCCATCAGAACAAGGTTTGTAATTAAAAGGTCAGTGACCTGGAAAGCCAGGGCCCCACTCCCAGAGCTTCTCAGTAATGATGGAGCTATTAAATTAAGACTGTTATGAAATCAATGCTAAAAAAGCTTTCATGGTAACGAGATCCCATTCAAGGACATGCAAACTACCTCATGAAATGGATGTAAATGATAAAAAAAAGAAAAGTAATAAAAGAGAGTTAAATTGAAATCTGTGTAAGAATTTACTCCCCCTTAAACTACTCGGGTGAGAGAAGCCCTTCACCTCTACCCCAATCCCAAGGCTGTGCCCACTGGACTTCTTCCTCAGGTTCAGTTCCAGCGAGGAGGCAGTTTTGCTACAGGGCTCCGCTTCCAGGAACGGAGAAGAAAATGGAGATCCAGTTGCACCTTTTAGAATGAGAAAGTAGCCATGTGTTTTATTTAGTTTTCCTCTTTTCCAGCCCTACCCCCCCACCCATGACTATTTATTAGATGAAACAGAAAACAGTCCTTTACTTATATACTTCAGAACAGCACAGTAAGTAGAAGTGTCAGCCAGCCCCACCCCGGCCCACTCTACAGGATTATGCGGAAAAACACGTGACATTCATCTTTTTCTAGAAGCCTGCTTTGCAACAGATACTTTAGGAGCAGTCAACAGACAACTCTGTCCCTGCCCCACCTCATCCTCCTTCTGCCCGCGAACAGCATCACTTTTACCAGCTTGTCCTCAGCCTGCTAAACATGTTTCGAAGCAGACTGCGTCCCACACTTTGTGGTTGGCTAAGGTGTCAAATCAACCTAAGTCTACTGACAATTTCCAAGCCTCTAACTTTCTGTGTTGATTCCGCTGCTGTTTTTAAGTTACTCTAGCCTGCTGGATTGCAGCCTGATTACAGCCCCAGATACGATGCCTGCCTGGCAAGAACTGCTTCTATATATAGACCGGTTCTATGAGGGCTTAAACCCCACACACAGGCCAATCATCGTCGTGTGTGGCTGACTCCGCAGTTGACGGGTCCTCTGCAGAATCAAGTGCTTGGAAGGAAAACAAAAACATTCATCTGAATACTCTGAAGGTGAACAGCTGCTTTTCTCTTTCATCCAAAAAATTCCCGATAAAAGGAAGAAATGCTGTAAATTACATGAAATGGCAGTACAAACTTCAAAGAAAATTATAAATGATTCTAATAACTTCATGTTTCTCATTAATGACTCCATATTCAGACTTTAAAGCATCCAAAAGAGATCTCAAAACAAAACCCCTGAAAACCTAAACAAGGCAGACCTTTGCAAATCACTGCCCTCCCGCCCAGCTCCACTCCCTACCCCCCCACCCCACTCCATCAGCGAGCACAACACTTAACCTGTCAGGAACAGGCAGGATGCAGCCCCTGCTCCAGGCTGCGGTTTCACAATAAAACAAACTCAGCTGATGCGCCTAAAGTAACCCTCATTTTCCACTGAACTGACATGCACTACAGGGACCTCAATTTCTATATTAAATATTAAATAATATTAAAAGAAAAACAAAATTGGATTTCCCTTTTCAGGAAAGAGATGTTTATTAAAAAAAAAAAGAAAGTCAAGATTATAATTCAAGTCAGTGCTCTACTGCAATTCCCTGAAGTGACACTTGCTAGGAAAAGCCAAGGCGACAGTAGCTGGGAGCTCTCCCCAAACCAGAGCCTCAAACCCCACGCCTTGGACGATCCTGCAGGGAGCCTGGGAGTGCGGACGCCAGAACCCGATCGCTCCGCCTACAGCAGGCCCGCGCTCTTCCCCTCTCCTTCCTCAGCCACCAGTAGGGACAGCAAAGGTGCTCCTTGCTCAGCCACCATCAGAGACAGTGCCAAGCTGCGTAATCGCGCAAGCCTGACCCAAGCAACAGCGGAAATTTAGAAAATGAAGTTTAAATCCACGAAGGGGCTTTTCTTCCCCAGGCGCCCATCAAACCTTGGAATTCTCTGCCCAGAAAAGGTCCTGCCAGAACTTACTCTACTGGGATTCAACTCGGAAATGGATAATTACTGACTGAAGCAGCATTTTAAAAGATAATGGAGATGGCTGATTAGCCTCAGAGATTCCGGGTTTAAGTACAGGGGCAAACTCGGGTGGTTGTCTTTAGAGCAAGAAGGGTAGGGTAGCTTCCCACATTTCTTAGCACCCAAAATTCTAAAAACACTAAGCCACGTTAGGGGCCTACTCTACCAACAAATACACATTCGGGCCCTTGCTCACACTCCACCCTCTCAGCGGCAGCTGGCATCCATCCGCCCTTCTTAAAATCAAACCCGCCCTGCACCCACCTGGCACCTTCAGCCCCTCGTTCCCTGCTTTCCGCGTCCCCGCAGCACTTGTCAGCACACAGACCACACTCTCAACTTTTCCACTTGGCTATACCTGCCTCCCCCACTAGAACGGATGCTCTCTGAGGACAGGGACTTTGTCTGGCCTATTCCTGGCAAATCCCCCGTGGGAAGAAGCGGGGTGGCACGGGGTTACACGCTCACTCTTGGGTGAACTGATTCATCAGTTTGTTTTTTTAGGAGCAGCAAATAATAATTGCGCAGAAGAGTTTCCTCTATAGTAATTATGAGCCAAGTGACTCAAAAGAAGTATTACTTGGTCCAGAGTTTCTCTCTCTTTTTTCTCTCCCTCTCCCAGTCAGGGATTTATTAAAATTAAACAGATTAGATGGAGCTCCTGATACTAAAACTGCTCAGCAAAGGCTGCGGTGGGGAAGTGCCGAGCAAACACCAGAGACATTTGTCTCTAAATTGCTCTAAATACCTTCTGCAAATGAAATTCTAACCCAGCTGCGTTTGAGAGAAAATGAGGACTAACTGGTCATTGTCGGTGGAAGAGAAGATCAGACAGTTATAATATTGCACAATACACTGGGCTAAGGATCTCTCGGCAACCATAGATTTTGTCTCAGGTTACCCCGGGTAATCAGCTCAGCTTTTAGGCTCAGCTTTCCCCCGCTTCGATGCTTTGATGAGAGAGCTCAACTCCCTAAGCTTTTATGATTAATGACTCCCCATAGGTACACATATTTCAAGGAAAAACTCTTTTATGGCATGATGCTCGCGGAATGGAGAGGCCAGCCAACACACTCCAAATTTTAATAATCTCCTAATGATGGGGGGGGTGGGCCAAGGCAGCCAGCCGAGCACACAGTGCCCCTCACCAACTCTGTCACAGAGACCGGCCTTGGGGCTGCTGTGAAGCAGCTGCCTGCGAATGAAATGCTCGGGCGCCTGTGCCCAAACACTGGGGGCGCGGCCCGGGAGGCGCAGGTGCAGGGACCGGCACGCCCTGGCAGCAGTCCTGCAGGGCAGCGCAAGTGCACCCAAAACCACCACCACCCTCCCAACCCAAAGTGATGGAAACACCGGAATTTTGAGGCCAACATTCCAGTTTTTATGGAAAAAAAGAATTCTGTTTTCAGGAAAAGACCCACTCCCATGTAATATAAAGGCCTTTAAAAAACTTCCTAGATTTCTACAAAACTAAAGAGTTCCAAGAATAAAAAGTCCAGTTTCTTTTTTGGTTGGTTAATTGTTTTCATTTCACACACAAAAAGAAAAAGTCCTAAATTCCAACGGAACTAGAATAGACTGTGTCTGCCTCAGACATTGCGTTTGTCGGGATCATTTTATCCATGCTTACAGAAACACCATAAAACCAGCAATTTACCACTTCAATCTGTAAATCAGACCAGCCTCAGGCTTGACCTTAACCTGACCTTGTTTAGTCACCTCACTTCCCTCTTCCTTTGCATCTTTCTTCCTCATTCTTCACTGAAGCAGGCGGCCTCCTTGCCTAGAGCCAGTCATTCTGCAGCTAGAATCAGTGACAGAGGAAAGGACCAGAAAGCAGAAGTCCTCCACACTCCTAGCCAGGGGACATTGTTGCTACTGAACACTGCTTTTGCGATGATGCCCTTGGCCTTCTAGAAGGTGCTTAATTACCTGAATAGTGTGACTTCTCCGCTCTGTTGTTGAACGGGAAACCTGCACTCTGGATCTGGGGATGGGGTGTCATCAGTACCCAGCCCCACAAGCGCACACCAGTATACAGCAGTGGGAGTGCTTGCTGCAGTCAGCGCCTGCCTTCTGCTCTGTGGCTTCCCCCTCCCAGTCCCAGCCCCGCTGTGCAGTCGTGAGAACCTGTACCTTTCTTCTTAAGGAACGCTCTCCTGGTCGCAAGTGGGCTCTGGCGGACCCGGGAATTCTGTAGAAACTTCACTGCTGTGGCAATCTGGTGGGCGAGATAAAACAGAAGAGTAAGCTTCAACAGTCTCAATTTCAAGATGAAAAATCCTATGAGTTCCCTGGGCCCTAGACACAAGTGTACACTATGGTCAAGTGTTTCGCTGTTCCTTAAATTTCCTATCTACCTAAATGCAAGACCAGATTACTTGCCTGTCTTCAGTGGCTTTTGGTTTTGACTCCTCTACCTGAGTCAATCAAATCTAATGCCTGAAACTGAGCTTTGCAGACCTGCAAGGAGCTTCTCCTATCTCGTCTGTTTGAGCTGCTTCTTGAGCCACGCTCATGTAGTCAGCACCCTTGTGCCGCGTATGCCTTCTTCCTGGCAGCCTCCTTTTCCTGCCTCGGCCGTCTACATACACACGCTCCTCAGTACAGCTCTTTTATAGGCAGTTCCGACTCCCTGGAACCTTCCTTACATAAGCAAGCCATCCCCGATCTCCCCATTCTCTTCAACTCCTCAATGTTGTACTTGTACCATATAATTGAAGGCATAATTATACTGTCTTCTAATGTGCAGGCAGCCTCCCCAACTACCCTGCATGAAACTGAGGGGACGAGACCGTGTTCCCGCAGAGCCTGGCAAAGTGCTGAGCATCTAGGGACTACAAAAAGGGAATGTATAAGAGACAACACACGTGGCCGGTCACAACAGTCTCTCCCATGAGTAGAGCTGAATCCAAAGAGTCTTCACAGGTAAAAGTTGGGAGCTCCCTGATATAAGCTGACAGACTGACAGATCATCTACCTATCTTTGGTAATGAATATTATTTAATGAAATCTTCGTATCTACATATAAGCCAAGGAGGGGATAGAAGGGAAGCTGGTAAAAGCATTAACCCCCACATCACTCGGTACATGCAAGGCCTGGATTCACACACTGCCTGTCTGCTCCCCACCACAGATACTGTGCTTACTAACAGGAAGTGCCAACCTGCCTCGGGTAGGAAAGGGACTCTTCTGAATAAGCGGCACTATTCACAACACCACATCCAAAAGACCTGTGTCATCTCCTATTGCAGGCCCTGCTGCTGCAAACAAACATTGCTGGACCTGCCACCCAAGTGACACACCAGTGCTCCTGAGAGCCACGCCCAGCTCCAACACCACGAACAGCACGGACCGCCAACACGAACTACAGTGACAACCAACCATCCTGGGCTAAAGAAAACTCAGCCTGGAGCTTCTAGAACCCCAAGACGGCAAGTCACACCCCTAGTTCCTCAACCCGATCACCTCAGGTTGCGCCAAACACCGAGAAAAGTTGAACAATTATCTAGAACACCGATGTGTTTTGATAAAGAGATGGAGGGGTGAGAGATAGAAAAGGGACGAGCAGAGGAGGGAAATGAAGGAGAAGGCAAGAGGAGACAAAACATAAGGGGGCAAGAAAGTAAATTTAAAAAAGAAGCAGCAAATAAAACCCAAAGGGAGAGAGGCACAGGTTCCGGAAAGGGAAGGGAAACGAGGTACACACTCGAGTCCCGTGGGTTCAACACCGATCTGCACTGCTCGGATGGTTCTGGGATAATTGCTCTTCACCGGGAGGAAAAATGCACCTCCAACACTCTAGGAAATGACAGTACTGGTGCCATGCGGCAGTCTCTGAGGCTGTGATGTGTGCGCCAGGTGTGGGAGGAAATGCGGATGAACAGGTCTTAGGCGGGAGACGCAAAGAGCACAGCTCCTATCATTCACCCACAGAAAAAAGAAGCCTTTCCCGCATCCTTCCAAAATTTCCCATGACAGAGAAAGAAAACAAAATCCCACCACTAAAATGCACAGGTTTCACCTTGCTTTTTTAATATAGTCCTTGGTATATGCATTTCTGGTCAGAGAGCAAAGTTCTGATGGGTTTAATGGTGCACTCAATGCAGTGCTTGGCGCATTCCATCAATTTTTTTTTTTTAAAAATTGCATCTCTTATTTCTTTAAATACATTAATCAGCCTAGTGTAGGCAAAACGGATCCATCGGACAATGCAATAAACATGAATTATCATCTATCCAACACGCATAATGGCTTAAAAATACATAATAGCAGGTGTAGTTTAAATGATTAGTTATTACACCTGTGGTGGGTCTGATTCAATTGGGAAAAATCATCTTTAATAGGTTAAAAGGTTTAGATCACCATGCTTTCCTTAAAGTGGCTGCAGAGAGGGAATGATGGAGTGCTCTGTCATTAGTAATTCATTTAAGAAAAACGTGGGGGATATAGCAAAGAACAGCATAAACGAGCGAATCCAATTTAAACATCAGGTAAAGTAGAAAACACCTTTTAAAAAAGCAAGATAAATGAATTTGGAAGGGAGATGAAATTGACGTATTTATTTTAACGGGAATTTGACAAAGTCCCGGCATACTTCAAACTTGCAAAAATATGAACAATTTCTTTTAAAGTTTCCATTCACTAATTTCAAGTCATATAAAATGATACTGCCAAACACCTACATAAAGTGTATCTGGGGCTTGTTTATGTTCCTCTTGATCTTTGTCTGAAAATGCAGGCGACAGGCAAATCACATATTTAACAGCATTGATATCACTACTCGAGATGCAAAAATATAAAGCACCCAAACTAACAGCCTCCACATAATGTGCTGAATAAGAAAGACACTCAGATAAGCGGCTACATGTAAGTGTGAACCTATGAAAACCTTTCTCCTCCTTCCACTAATTATTCTTCCAGCTACTCCTCACTTTTCTCCTCCCTCCCCACAGACACTGGCCCTACAATGGAAGGGGGGGAGGGCCTGTCCAACCTACAGTTTTATAGCCCTATGATTCATACATCGACAGTAAAAGATTTCCCAAAACTCCTTCCCCATAATGCACAGATCTTCGCCCACTGAATAACTGACAGGGCACCCGCTTTGGGCCTTTCACCCACCTATTCCTGGACACTTTTCATTAACTTCATGAAGCAATTCAACTGACTTTCCTCTGCAGAGGTCCAACACACACAACACGCTTTTGTTGGATTCAATGATGGGGTGCTACAGCCTGTCTTGTGTTATCATTTGATTTTCTAATTAGAAGATGAATGTGACTATTCATGGGTTATATTTGTGCCCCACTAAATTACATAAATTCAGGCCAAATCTTCCGCCTCAATGTCAAAGATGTAAAACGGAGACAGGAACTTTATTGCACAAGTTGTGGGAGTGCAGCAAGCCAGGGAAAATTCTGGCGCAAGGCTCCTGATGCCGTTGTTGAGCCACTCGCTGAGGAGTCCATGATAAATATGGAATTGCCTTTCCTCTCCCCTCCTCCTGCACTGATTGAGCTCTTAATGAGTGAACCTCAAATTACCAGTAGCTAGTTTAATAAAAATACAGGTGACAAACTCAGAAGAAAACAGAAGCAAAGTTTCTCACTCTCCTTAATCCCTCTGGCCCCATCATCTATCTTCCTGCCCACCCCAGGCAAAATAAAACAACCCTGCCACCATCAACTCCACAATTTTAGGGAAATTTGGTAATTTTTACAGGTTATCACACTTACAGGCAGAGGAAAAACCAAGGTGCAAAAGGAGAGTAGTGCATTCCTTGCCGTCTCATAATCTAACTATAGTTATGCTGAGACTCTGGCAGCAACTCAGAAAAAAGAGCGGGGACTTCAGGTTGAAAAACACCTTTGGATCCAAGATGATTGGCCAGTTGAGAGAGATTTGTGTTTGAGAGACCAGGATTTGTAACTGTATAAATCAATGGAGTACAGTGTATTCAGGGGTTATCTGCTGTGAACTACGCGCTGTTAACTGCATTGTGTGGGGTAAGTAATCCCTAGTGGGAAGAATCCAGGTTTCTGACAGTCTTCACTGAAGAGACGCTTCCTATGTATTTTCCATTCTCCTACAAAAGACCTGCACGCTGTAATCTTCAGAGTGCACACTTCATTTTCTGTGTGAGGGGGACGGGAGAACAGAGCCCGCCTAATAATGAACCTGGGGTTTGAGGGAGCCTTAGCACTTTGCACCTGACATGTAAACCTGATGCATTGTCTCCGGTGACACCTATTTGGAATGCCACCAATTCCAGCACTCCTGTGTACTATATACACATCTATCTCCTAGAATGTGAGCATTCATTAGCCATTTTAAAATATTAAAAATATTCAAAAATTAATGATACTAACAACCAAAGCCAAGTCCTTTTTATCCCAGAGTGATCTCAACTAGAGGGCAAGGGGAAATGGCCAGAATGTGGGCCCGAAACCCCACTCCAGCGCTGCTGCTATGCGCTGCTCAGAAGATTAAATTGCCTGTGAAAGGCTCCTCCGCTGCTGCTCTAAAGTAGATACCCAGAATCCTGTTAACAAGCGTTAGACCAAAGCCAACTCAAGTTTTAACAAGGGCTGACTTTAAAAGCCAGGCAGTGCTGTGAAGGAAAGAACTGTCTTGAAGCAGAAATGCTGCCTTTTAGTAAGAAATCAGTACTCTGTCAGGAGTTCCCTGACAAATATGGTCATCGGTGGCACAAGGAAATAGTTGCAAAGCAGCTGTTAATCAGAGAAACACATCCTAGAACGCTGATGCTAGCACTCGTGAAAAAATGCAACGGGCTAATTATGAAGCTATATATCTCACTAAAGAGGCCACGTTCCCTGAGATTCCAGGCAGAGCACTCTCGGATCCAGGGTCCTAGGACAACATAATTCTGACTCTCTACAGCCGGAGTCCTCTCTGATCTACCAGTCACAAGCCAGGGTGTTCCGTTTCTCTCTCAATTCTACACACTCTCTAGCTAGGGCACACTCTGGGAGGGAGGGACGGAAGCAGGGCAGCCACAAGCCACATTCCAAGATGCTGCAGGAATATATCCAGGTGACAGACCCTACACCAGAGTAGGAGAAAAATCCATGAGCATGGGAAAGAAAGGAAACACGGGAGTCACACGCAAATGTGGCAGGAGGGCAGATGTGTCTGACAGTCAACAGAGGAGCACTGATCCCCACGCCAAGATGGAAAGAAAGAATAAAGAACAGC